TAAAAATGGCTGCCTCATTATTGAGTAGGTTAACAGTTAAGTGAATGCAATGCATATTGCCAGGAAAAAAGTTTGGAAAGTAGAAAAAACTACACTAATCTAGTTTCATTGTTATGTTTCGTAGGATTAGTTCAGCTCTTTTACTTCATTTTATTGCTTTCTGCATTATATTGCTCCACTGTGACCATGCCGTCCATCATAGATGTATAGAGTAAATACAAGCTCTATGTGTCACTGGGTATTTATGTCAATTCACTTGCTGCTTTCTGACCTGCATGCTGAAAAGGTTACTTATAAAAATACTAAATATTCCAAGTTGAAAGTTGAAAGATACATCTGCAACCATATATTTTAAAATGGCTTTTTCTCAAATTTTCTCTCTTAAGCTTTACAATCAATGTGGAACTGTGAAATACGACATTTTTGTATATTTATAACACATAAAAATGTTATTCCCTCATGAATACAATGATTGCATAAATGGATGCCTCAAGAATCTGAGAATCTCCCATTTCAGCCATTCAGGCCACCTGAATGCTCTCACAATGTGCAGCCCATTTCCACAAACTCGGCCAGAACTACAGTCTCCAAGCCAAGCTTCCACCTCACAGAGCAACCCTCCTTGTGCCTTCACCCCTATGCCCCACCAGACTAGTGGCAGCAGCAATTGGCAGCACATGGTGGAACTGCAAGTCTGGGTCTTGAATTGAACCTTTTCAGTCAAATAATCCCAGGAATTGTTGTTAAAAGTATAATGGAGGAACGGAGTTGTGATGATGTGCTGAATGCTGAGTGTTGGATAGAGTTGAATCTTCTTGAGGAAACAGAGGCCCAAATTCAAGCTGCAATCAAACTGCAAAGTCAAATTTATTTTAAGTTATGTTTGACATATACAGGATTTTTATAGGAAACGAAAGAAACATAGTTTTCACAGTTTCACCATTTCACAGTTTGAATTGCTGTGAAATGGTACTATGTGTCATTATAGTGCTTATTGACAATACCTAGAGAACTAAGTCATTCATCAGCAGTTTTAAACTTTTAACGTCTGACCTACTTGTCAGTCATGCTGTGTGTCAAATCTTAAAGCAAAATAAAAGCAGAGTCATTTTAAGAGACTCTGGGTGAACCAAACCAAAGCATCAGTGTTACTTCCAGTCAGATGAACCATGTAAGTAGAATTGAAATTATCCTATGCCTAAATAAAAAAAAAGAAAGAACAACAATAGCTCTGTCTCCACTGAAATCCACAAAAGAAAAAAACTGTATTGTGGCTCGTGGAAAGCAAAGCCTCACTGAATGTTCACACATAATTCAGAAAGAACCAGATTGTGTAACCACCAGAGGACAGATGACATAAACACTTTATCAGTATTTTTGTTAAATGAAATTCAAAAAAATGCCATTGTATCTTCAGTGCTATCTACTGATGACTAATATAATCGCACTTGTATTAATCACCACAACGCTTATGCATCTGGGCTACTTTGAAAACAATTCAGTTATCTATCAATCTTTTAAGTCTTTTTAATCACTTTAGATTTTTTTATTATTATTATATTTCTCAGTTTCCCCAACAGCAAGACATTATTCAGTTGTGTGCGAAAGGTCAGATCGAGTTTGGTACATGTATTACCGTCGCCGGCTAAAACAGGAAAGTGCCAGAACAATCCCAGACCTCAAAATAAAAGGATGAGTTTAATACTTTAAGTGGTCCCTCACTGAAAGGTTTAGTTCAGAAGAGATCTGCAGGTTACCTTCACTTACCCTCAGGCTTAACTGTGCAATTTAAAAAGTAACTACTGTATTCTTCCAGTTCTCCACCCTTCCTTCTATTATTACCCATGCCATTTAAGACTTGTCCATACTTGCAATTCACTTAGTGCCATTTTTAAAGGTGGTGCTCCAGTTTGTTGCCTTGCCATTAAACCTGGGACCTGAGAGAACCAGTTCAAGGGACGCTCTGCTTCTTCAGAAACTTACAGATTCATGCAAAATAAATCTAATTTACATGCCTTTTCACATCCAGGAGAGAATGACTCAGTTTTGAAATGACATGGGAAGAAACAACATTGATAAGAGAATAAGGAAACAGCTTTTAGCCTCAATTTCACAGAAGCACCTAGAGTGAAAAAAAACAAAAACAAAACAGCATTATACACCAGTCAATGCCAATTTATGCGTTTTGTCTCATCAGTGGATCAGTATGTCATGCAGAGGACAAGTTGTTATGTTTCAGTAAAACGTCCTTTATTCCCGCAAGATTATATTCCAACACGTCTGCCATCCAGTCCTGTTTCTTTTTTTGTGTAGTATTTTGTAACTGAAGCCACAATTGTGGACACAATTTAGAGGAGATGACAGATTTCCATCATCCCACCAGCTTCCTTTAGAGGATGCCACAGCACAAACGTGTCTAAAAATATTTCTCTTTCACTCACCACCAATGTCTTCATAATGTGAACGATGGACGTCAGGTTGTGTTTGGTGTCTGTATTTGATGACAGTTGACAGGGTAGCATCTTCCCTGTGTCTGAGGCAAACACTGTTTCTTTTTTTTTTTGTTTGCCCACATTGTAATTCCACTTTTACCAACATGGAGAAAGTAGTTGTAAGCCACGCTTGTGGTGCCCTGTCGAAACCATTACAGAGCAGCAAGGGCCTCACATTTAAACCGCCTGTGTCCTCTTCTGCGGTCACATTTATTGCTAGCTTGTATGAAAACACATTTAACTTTAAGTCAAGTGTGAAAAGGTTATCTGCAATACTAATTTCTGTTTTTTTTTTTTTCTTATACTGGGAAGTATAAAATATATTTTTTTAAAATCTAAGTGGTAGTGAAGTTGGTTTCTTTTGAAAGCAGAGGAGTTTCAAAGCCTATATCTGGGTCCTTCATCTAATTCTTCATTAATGACAAAAATAATAAAGAAAATAAATAACCAAATAAGTTCAGGCTTTTGTGTGATCCAAGTTAGACTAAGTTTACATTTTAATGCATGTTGCAGTATGTAAATCAGATCCAGTCGAGAGGAAAATTGGCATATTTTGATTTCTTTAGAATTGATTGGTGCATCTGTTATTAGTAAAGCACAACAAATTGCCTTCTTTACAAAATAGCTAATATTCTTTCTGACATTTTTGATTCTGTAAAGGAAGGCTCAGTTTTAGGTGAACCAATTAAAATCTCGACAAGTTGTGAAACGTCTGCATCATCTCTGTGAGAGTTTGTTTCAGCCAACCTGTGAATATTTATTAGCCCAAACCGTTGACGAAGCGTTTTGTGAATAAACCTCCACTTCTCCCACATGGACTGCATGTTACGCCGCTGCTGTTGTAAGCATGCTTGAAGGAACTTCAACTCCAAGTAATTTAACACTTCAGAAAGTGTGCACATCTCACAGAAGAGCATATTTAAAACAAAAAAAAAAGAAAGAAAGAAAAAAAGAGTAGCTTGTTTGAGAGTTGGTATTCTTGCACCGATTCGAGCAGGAAATAAAATGCGGCGCCTCATTTTGATGTAAGCCTAGCCTAATTATTTGGTAAAGGGGGGTGTGGGAGCAACACAATTGATTCAGTTTTTCGTCTTAAGGCGGTGTGTGATTTTCCCAAGATGAACACTACAAAGTGAATTCCAACTGTGCTCTGGGAAACAGTAGTGAGACACAGGGATGTCCACAGGCACAGGCCCGGAGCCACATTCTGCAGTGCTAACCATGGCTGCACTGTAAACAAGCATTTTCTTGCAGTATTATAACTATTGTTAGTCAGATGATAGAGGTCGCAAAGAGCCTCTTGTATTGGACATGATCAAGATTTACAGTAATTGGGATTTTTATGTTTAAAGTAACAGTAAAAACTCAAGGTTTCTGAATTAAGAGTAAAGTTAATTTGCTGCCCCTTTCAGCTTTTGGTAATTTTTCTTTTCCCTTTTTTCAAATCTTTTTATATAATTGCTGTTTAAAGTTTCCTTTCCTTGTCTTTTCTGTCCTTTCCTTATCTTCTGTCTCCGTTTCTCTCCTCCTCTTGCTTCACAGTGCTCCATCTGTGCCCTCTGTATGAAAGGGAATAGTTGAGCAGGCCTGACAAAGGGCGGCACAGAGGTGCTGAGGAAAGCTGAACATTGCTGGAAGGGATTCCTATCTGTTTGTGTATGTGTGTGTTGTGCGTGAGGGAGAGATAGAGAGACTGCACCATTGTGTACATGCTTGAATGTGTGTCAATTTGAATACAAGACTTCCCTACCTTTAACGAAAGCTATAAAAGAAGACTAAATATTCAATGAATGGCAAAAACAATTAAGTGTGTTATTCACAAATTCACATTTGTTGATCCAACTGATACTTCAGTGCAATGTATACATATAATACAGCTCAATTGTCTTTTGTGTTTGTTGCCATCAATGCCAACATTATGAACATGGAATTAAAGGGACATTTTAGGAATCCTGTTTGCCCCTAACAATTATCTCTTGTGACAAAAATAGGTGATGCTGATTTTTTATTTTATTTTTTTGCCTTACAAAATCTTTCTTTTAGAAAATCTTCTTATGCTCACTCTTAAGTATGAATTGGATCTGTCATGCTGAAGGTCTGTTTTTCTTTCAAAGGCTATTTCAGAGCATCTCCAATACAATAATGCACATCTTCCAAAACAATTGGAAGAAATGGTTAACCTGACACAAAACTACTCAACTTCCTGTTCTTCTTAGCACACAGTTTTAAATCTTGTAGAAAACATGTGGGGTGAGCCTAGAAAAGGAAGACTATAAGTTCCCAGGAGTTTAGATTATACAGAAATACTGTACAGGGGTTCCAATAACTAGGATTTTGCTAAACATATATATAATTTTTTCCCCCCTCACTAAATAAATGTACTTGGATTTCATCTGCATGTACTTATGCACATTTAACAGGTACATGACAGTTGTAATACATGATGAAAACAACATATCCACACATATTAATGCAGAAGGAATTGTGTTTTTTTTTTTATCACCTCAGATCATCACCAACTACACCGAGATCATGTCCCCCACGACTGTCGGATCGAGCCCGACTCGCCCTGCGCATGCTGCCGTCCGAGCTGGGCCTGCCGTCGTCGTGGCAACAGCAACAACCGCGCAGACGCTGGCATGACTCCGTTCAGCAGCTCAGCCTCATTATTCTGCTGCTGGCTTTGATGTGGTTTGTGAGGCTTTACCTGCATTACTGCAGCCAGTGGCTCTACCTTCAGGCCATTGCTGTTCCTGTCAACAAGTGAGTTTGCCTCCTTTGATATGATCCTGCACACACACGCAGCGTGCAGACACACAAGGAAATGCGTAGCCTCACCAACACAGAGTGTGCCCCTGAAAATAAATTAGCAAAAAGGGGAAGACGATACAGTATGTACAGTAGATTACTGCAGAATACTGTAGCCTAATGGCCAATCAGAAATTTGCACGCCTTCACACACACAGAGCATGAAAGCTAAAAAAACAAGAAAGAAAAATGCTTGCAAAAGATGGTTGTGAAGTGGATAACGAAATGAGAAGAGACTGAAAAATGTACCATGATTGAGTCTGTGTTTGTGAGTGTGCATATGTTGGCAAACCTGCACGCTGGATACACCCAAATCATCTGTTTGGAATCCCCCTATTAACATTTTAACAAGACTCTCTCAATATTAACATCCATTGCTGTGGGAGTTAGCTCATTGCACAGCTTCAAGTCCCAAAAGACTTTATTTAGAAGGAATTTATTGTTATTATTTGCTGTACTGCATTGATAATAAACAGCAATAAGACACCACAGAACTGTTAAATCACACTGCAATAACACATGGCCTTGATTTAGTTTATCACAATAAAAGAATGCTGCCTGCAAACAAGTATGCAAGAAGGTTTTTATTACAATAACATGTTAGGGAAGGCATCGTGTTAAATCATGGAAACTGACTGGAGAAGCAGAGAGAGAGTAAAAAAAACAACAAAAAAAAACACATGGCTGAGTGAGAAAAGAATAGGCTGAGGGGGCAGATAGGAGGACTAGAAAAAAAAAAGTGAAAACAGAGGGGGTCAACACTGGATGACAACTTCCACATGTCCAAATCAGCCACTCTACCTCCGAGCATGTTTCACTCCATGCAGTGGCCGGAGCTGGCAGTGGCCACTGAGAGGGAGAGACACCAAGTGACAGTCGGTGTGGGCAGTGTGGTGACAGGAAACCCTCCCTTCACCGACTTGTCTATGGTGTCTTCGGAATCTCTTTTTCTGTTTTCTTTTTCTGCCAAGATCCACTCATGCGAATCGGTGCGCAGCTCGTACTGCGGTGTGCTGTGTTCAAGCTCACTGTTCGAAACACAATTTTATGAGGGAATCGAAATCAGCTTGTCCTGCTTTTCATATCTCAAACAACAACTTTCTCCTGCAGTCTAGTTCAGCGTATTTCATAACAGGATGTAATATTTTATGTTCTTATTAATGTTCATTAAATCTTATAAGTGACTGCGTGACACAGATCCTTAGCTTGCCAAACTCCCCACAGACACCCACACTCTCACACAGGCACAGTTGAGTAGTAATGTTTATACGTCATAATGCCAGAGTCACAGCTTCAGTGTGATAGCAGTCTGCAGTGTTGCAAAATTCAACTTTCCTCAAGGTTACTTCTTTATGACAACCCCTTATTTTAAATTATTTTTATTTTTTCTAAACAGTTGGATTTTCAGAGTTTTGAGACAGAAGAGGAACAGGAAATCCCTAAAAGTTGGAAACTGGACTGAGAATATCAGAGGTTCCCAAGAAACCCAAAAATAATGATCTAGTTTTTCTGCAAGCTGCCGTCAATGACCTTTGCACTTTGGTTGTGCTCTGGCCTGTTTCGGAACAAAAGGCTTCGTCCACTGGCACCACAAACCTTGAAAAACCACAAGAAAGGCCAGAAAGCAGGCCAGGTGAAATTTGACCTCTTCGGAGCTACAGTAAAATGCTTTTTGGAGGTGAAGGACTGCAAGATATCGATTGTGTGATCAGCATAGTAACTGCTAACAGACACAGTGTAAATCTTGAAATCTATGATTTAGAGGTGTAAAGAGTGACACTTACCTCTAAAAACCTGACATTTTCTGTTTTCAGTGGGCGGGGCTAATTTGAAATCAGAAAATTACCAACCTGATACTTTCCAACCCCACAGGCACAGTAGGTCTTTACACCATCTTTGTAGCCTGGGAAATGTCTTACAACATCTTTGTTTACTATTTGTTATTTTTTGGGATAAATTATTCCTCTCTAATCTGAAACTTTCAAGGCAAATAAAACATGCCATGCAATTGAACATTAAAGGATATAAGAAGGCCATTTAAGACTGAAGTCAACCTGTAACACAAGCAGCAACATTTCTCTTCATATACTTTTATTAGAAAGACAAAATAAATGTAAATGTATCTTGCAAAGAAACATTTAAGAGACAACTGCAGGTGTTTTCTGAAAATGTAAACATGAAAAAGAAAAATCTGAATCAGTAATCCCCACACTTTTCAAAATGATACTTACATATAAAATAGTAATTACAACACTTCATAATAGAAATACATGCAAACCAATGTAAATATGAATTAGCTAGCATTTCCTACATGCATTACATTTGTAATTCAAAAGGCAATTTCCTAAGATAGATATTGTCCACTTAAACAATGGCAATAGTCTCGTTCCACTTTCACAGTAAGATTGAAGTTCATCTCAAAATTGCGTTGCTTTTTGTACCTCCCACCCCTCTTCCTCGTCATTCTATTAACTATGCATAGGCCTCCTTATTAAATTTTAAGATTTGACTCTGCATAAAGAGTTGCCTCAAAAAAAAAAAAAAAAATCAATGGAGCTCTTCTTCAGATTAATGGACAGAATCTGAGAGATGCTTGACTCTTGAAGCAAATCGGATGGAAATTAATGAGGAAAACTGGACCTGTCCCTGGCCACCACTGCTTTACCTCCTCCTGGCTGATGGGAAGATTAAGAAGCTCATGAGGCTTGCTGTAAATGGGGAGTCCAACTTTTCAAACGGGAACTTTTTAAAAGCTCCATCTTTTTGTCAGCAAAAACATCAGGTGACTCTGACATATATCTGAGCAATTTGAATATAATTTGATCGGAAGGAAATTGATTAATGTCCGAGACAATCAGTGACCAGTGAGGCTAACAGCTAATAATAATTATTGTCATCAGACTAATTAAGAATGATTGAATCAACTGCAAACAATGTAACGCAGAGCGTGAGTTGCCAGAACCAGCTGGCCCTCAGCTGCAAAGCATCACAAGACACTATTATGGTACATGCATATTGACACTTTCCTCTCTCTTCAGATTTCACTTCCATGCTCACACAGTGGATCTCATCTACCAGAGCTCTTTGCTCCACACCCGAGAGGAGCTGGCAATGGTGGTGGTGGGTCCCCTGACCTTGAACGCTGTAACGTTCCTGCTGGTTCTGATCAGATGGGGCTGTCAGCTGATATTTGGCTCACTCCCTTCCTTCACGTCAAATTTTATCATGGCTCAGGGAGTGTGGACAGTCCTCGACCCCCTGGCAGTCTTTGCTGTGGACGCCGTCCTCGGGGTAAGTCACTTAAAAATAACTTGGACACTTGTGCACTTTAAATAGGAGTTCACTTTATCCTGGCAAAGTGACTTTAAATTATATTAAAAAAAGGAAGTAGGGGAAGGAATCTGTGCAAGGTTAGATGGGTGTCTTTCTTTTTTTTTTTTTTTTTTACACGTGGAAAGCTGGAATACCTCAGCCTGCCTGAAATATATTGAGATTTAACAATATGTAGTATCTCAAATCACATGCTAAATACTGTTTTGTACTGAGAACATCAATCCAAGATGTCTGATTTCACAGTCTTCTCTACAAATCTGTGATGATCCATTGCATTCTGTGATCTGTAGTCTGAACAAGGGCTCAGTTGTCTTTTAAATGTCCAGTCTGATCATCTGGAATCCTTGATTTAGTTTGCCGTTTTCTTTAAAATGTCATCTCTCAAGCATTTGGCCTACAGTCCCGACACACCGGTAGGAGATGCAGCCAAGCTTTACTGGCACTTCTATAGAGCCGATGGATCTGGCGCAGCAGGAGTGATCATCACTCTGTTCCTCTACGCGGTCCACGTCCTTCTCTCCATCACTATTCTCACTATTTACCTGCTCAGGTGAGACATGGTAAAAACAAAAAATGAATAAATGTAAACATAGTCGACTTTTATTGTAAAGCCATTTATTTTGGATAGCTTAGTTATACCCAATATCATACAATTGTTTTCTGACTTTAAGACCAGTTCTTTGATCAAAGTGTGAATGTTGAACATAGCTAGTTGTAGTTCGCAATACATATTAGCAGGAAAAGGTCAATGTTATTTTCAGTGAAAAAAGTGTTCACTGACAAAAAAACAACATTATCATTAACAACATTACACATTATAATGTCATCATTTGAGCATTTTTTTTAACTTAATCTCATGGAAGAGCTTTTTTCTTTAAATAGCATGAACATGACTAAAATCTAAAAAAAGAAAAAAATCTCTGGCAACATTAGATTTGCTTTGGTGTCTGATTAAATACTGAAACAGTATTTTAAGAATCAGATGTTATTCACTGATTACTTATTTAATGCTGCTCTCCTAAAAAACAGAAGCAATAGCCAGTTTTGCATTTAAGCTAATGAATTAAAGGCAGGTAAAAAAAAAAAAGCATTTCAAAACATCTATTCATGTGCAAGAGAAAACACTATATTAGGAATTTAATATGAAAAGAAATCCTTTTACTTTTTCAAGTAAATCATTTGGCGATTTACTTTGCCAAATTATTGGCCGTCTAATTTCCGTACACAACTATTTGGGATCCAGCTAAATGAACAACATTAAAAAGCAGCAGAGAATAATGATTTCTGCCACTCAAATGAGTTTGTTTTGAATGTAGGCTACGAGGTTAAAACAAGGCTGATAATTTTGTGGGATACAGTTTTGTTATTGGCTCTGACACAGCTTTCGACCTATTAAAAAAAAAAAAAAAAAACTTATGTTGTACATACAGATAGAATAGACTGTTATCCTCTGTTAATTACATTTAGGTTGTGTTTAGCCACTTTTTGGTTAAAAAAAATGTTTAAAAATCCATCTGTCATCTACGTTTTCTGTGAAACTTCACGGACGCAGATAAGTCAGACCAGATTCACGTGTTAATGTTTAAGGAAAGGGAAATATCAATTACTAAGTGTTCAAATTCCACGTGAAGTAGGCTCACTCTTGACTTTAAGAGTTTATAACAGTTCACTTGAATGCAATGTAGTAAGGCAGCTGCACCCAGCAGGAAAGATATTATTTAGTGTTTTGGAATTTTTGGAATTTTTGGAATCTTCGAAGAATCCAGAGTGGTCTTTAATGCCAGATGGTGAGGGAAAAGTGATGGCACCAGAGCAGAAACACAAGTTGGTTCTGGAAAAAAAAAAAAAAAAAAGTGCATCTACTGACCCTGCACAACCTTCATTATCAGATTCTGATGCAGGAAACTGAGGGATCAAATATGACTGACTTGGAGTTCATTCCACCTGTTTTCCCTTATGGTTATGTCAGACATTTAGAACCCCAAAATATTCACAAAGTCTTGTTTTTAAATGTGAAATCGTAAGGAAAACTGATGTTTGATAAACTTAGAGCGGTAACACTTTATTCAAAAGGGTGTGCATAAGATGTTTATAACGTGACGTTTATGACACCATCTATTATGAACATGGAGTTTTCATGAATGTTTATGACTGTTGTCATGAAGTGTCATTTGGTAAATAATGACACTTTTAATGCAAAGTTGTACTCAAACTTTCATTAAAAGTTTGAGTGCAAAGTTAAAAGTGTCAACTTTGCACTAGAAGTGCAAAAAACAGTCATAAACATTCACAAAGATAATATCAAATCACTTATTTGTGATTGATGCTGCGGATATATATTTAATAAGACTGAGACAGATCTTTAATGCTTCCATGCAATTAGATTGATCAATTGTGGATAAAACAATCTTTGAAACAGCTGTTTTATGCTTATTCACAAATGTGATGGAAAATATATTCCTTAATTTAACACACACATGTCCAATGGTGACATTTACACGTGAACCTCATCACCTAGATCAGACCCACACATTTAAGAACACTGCAGTGAAGTTCAGGGATCCTCCAGCACAGCAAAATTAATCTGTTTTGAGGAGCACGAAAGACAAGACTGTGAATTCCTTCAAGAAAGCAACCGCATAAATGAATGAAGAGCAAAATTCAAGTGTAGGATGAAAATGATTGTATGCTATTCCTGTGTCTGAGGTCAAGCTTCTACAAACATTCCTCTCCCAAGAGCGATGGGGAATAATGCTGAGTTCAAAGCTCTGTAGCAGCTCCTTGTGTAAAGCCTTGTCTCCTTGATGTTGTTTTTATTTGAGAGCTGATTACCCTTTGACAGACTAGAATCTCTGTGGAAGGGCACAAGGTCTCCCAGTTTTGATGGTCGGCCAAAGCATTTGTTTACAGACATGGTGTTTCTTTTTTAGAGGTTGGCTGCATGCAACCCGTGTGTGTGGCTAAACAAAAATAACACTTTGGTTGTGTGCATTCATCTGGAGGTATCAATCAATATGCCTTCTGCTCTGCAGAACATTTTCTTGTGACTCAAGCCAGCCTCTCCAGACGCATGTACAATCGTTGCAACTGGAATCTTTAAAGCTCGGCATTAACACCGAAGAACATCCCAGGATCTGACTCCCACACATTAAAAAGATGTAAAACCACGCAGACACCCAGCCAAGCATGGACGCAGCTACAGTCAGCTTGTGTTAACAAAGCACTTCCTACTCAGAGGCCAATTTGTTTGATTCCTTTTGCTGCTTCTCTTGATGTATTAGACTTTAAAGAGCATCACCCATATGTCCTCTGCGATCAATAAAGATTTCATGTGTTTTTGGGTGTTTTCTTGTTTTGTTTTGTTTTTTTATTTTTTTCAGTGAGAAACCCGGTCAGTCAGTCTTTTTTGGCAAAGTTGCCTTTTCTGCTTTGTCTAGCATTCCTATAGCATATGAACTCTCAGAAGCCAAGTTTAGTAAATTGGAATTACGTTACCTTGTTCTTAACTTGTTTCTCAACACATCTTCCAGATTCCACAACGATGGTCGCATGTTGGATGTCTATCAGCGACTCACCGCCAAAGAGGGTGTGTATTTCCTGCCTGAAGACTTCGAGTTGTCAAATCAGGAGCTCAGCTACATTGTCAAAAAGGCAGAGCAGTGGAGAGGCTTCAATGGAGAGAGACGTAAGGTAAACTCAACACCAAGCGGACCCTCCGCATTTTTTTTTTCCAAATAAAATCTTGGGAGATAACCTGGATAAAATACTGTTTTATTAAAGTCATAATAATCTGTAAGGTCATGAATATTAGATGATTGATTAGTTAGTACAACACAAGTAATCTTAAGCGCAGTGGGATCGAATGTCAATTTGAAGGCAGCTTAGGACTACTGTTACAATAGCTGTAATAGTTACGGTAGTTCAATATTCACTAGTAACTTTATAGGAGAAATTCCACATACCAGGATGTATAGCAAGGACTGATTTCATGTCATTTCTTTAGTTACATTTGAGAATGCTGAGATTCATCTCAGAGGTCTTTAGTTTCATTCTAATTAGTACAAGATAATTACCAAAACAGAAAGTCAACTAGCGCGCTGCCTGATTAGTCTATGAAAGCCAATTTTGGAAGATATTCCATTAAAGAAAGACCGCTCAATCAAAACACAACGTGAACTTCGTGGATGCGTTACACCCGGCATGTCTTCATGTGGCTGTCTATGTGTCAGGCAGGGCAACTTCCCAGGATGTATATTTTCTTGAAATTATAGCTCTCAGATGTTTGACAGCCCGGTAAAGGTCAGCTGTAATGTCATCGGGGTGTGTAGTGGTGCCGAGTGTACAGATGTCAAATCTTTGCAAGACTGAAGAAGTGACTTAGAGAGATAAGGGGCATGGAATGAAGTGATCAAACTGTAGACACCTTTCAGTGTAATCTGTGGTATTTATATAGTGTTACTATTGGCTAAGTCTAAGCATGCTCATAGTATTAGCAAAATTTGAATATAACAATGCTGTTTTTGATCGAAGGAACCACCACTGAGTCTGTTAGACATCTGACTACCTATTAACCTAAAGATTCTTCAGAGTCCGTCTGGATTCCACAAGCAGAATGATGAAACAAATTTTGTATTTTATTTTATTTTTTTTCTTATAATTAAAAATAAGATTTTCTTAATGTGAAATTTAAAGTCAGGAATGCAGTCTTTGTTAAGATTATTCAACTCAAAAGCTGTGAACATAAATTTCTGTAGTTTTGAACTGAACATTAAGCTAGTTCAATAAAAGTCCAAAACACTCTCATCATAAGCGAGAAATCCAATTGAAGATCACAATTTTGACATAAGTTTGATGTGTATATACATTTAAAATTCAGTTTTAGTTAACTCCTTGTATGCTTCAACTGAACGGAAAAAAACAGTGTGGAAAAAAGATGTCTATTGAAAGCCGACTATACTTATAGTGTGTCAGACCAGTTTTTTTGTTTTTCTTGTGCGTGTGTGTTTTATGTTAAAGCCTCTTATTAAGCAAACAACATCAGGGAAACGCTTGCTGTGGTACATTTCTTTATTATCCTTCCATTACTGTATTCTTCCCTGCTAAGCAACAATTCCACCATTTGTCATATTGCACCTAATTTGCTGTTATTACTATGATAAAATGCGAACACATTGTGTGCCATGATGAAAATTTAGGTTTATTACAGCTTAACATTTTCATATTATGAAACTCGACAATATTTCATCAAAATAAGATAGGCCTTGCCATTATTTTATAATTATTGTCACAATTTCTTCTGTGCAAAAGGGTCACTTTCCTAAGTCAGCAAAGACATATCCCTATTAAACTAATTTGCCTACATGCAAATTTCTGTCATTTTTCCCTCATTAACTATTTATCATAGACAGGGGGAAAAAAATATATTCATGAAGGAAAGGAAAGGAGAAGCCCGACAGAGCCGAAACTAATATTTTGCAACTCTAATGATTTTTTGCATTCTTAATTAGATAGAATAAGGTTGATATGATTAGGTCAGGAAGTAGTGTTTTTCATTAAAAATACATTTCAGAAACTGTATTCCAAATGTGCCCTTGCAATTAGATAATGAATCTGGTGCATTCCTTATTATGGACCCAATTAATATCAGAGGCAAGGGCGTAATTTTAATAACAGTGGGCTACAAGGCCTTCATTAGCTCATTGAGAGAAAGGAGGGATAAGGAGGAGGAAAACAAGGTACTCCCAGGAACAGCTGCAGACTGCAGCACTGTATTTTTTTCATTTTTTTTGTTATTAACAACGCATTCCCAAAATGTGACATTTTTCACATCTACTATCTTAGGCAAACAAGCTCAAATATTGTCTGTTTTGGCTAATTTGATGACTGTTGTTAACTCAGAACAACTAAAAAGACTGATTGATTTAAAATGAAAACTATTTAAACTAGTTTAAATAGTTTAAATAGTTTAAACTATTAAACTATAGTTTAAACTATTTACTATTAAACTATAAACTATTTTAAGCTTGTCTGTTGAGCTTAAAAATGATTCCAATTTGATACTGGGATATCGCCATTAAAAAATAGATTATGATACATGAGTATATCTATTTCGAATTATATAGTGAAGTGTAATTTAACAATCAATTATATTATAAATAAATATAAAGTCAAAATGCTGTGAGCTTGCTGCAAACGTCATCAAGGAAAATTTGATGAGCGGCGTATTACTGGTTTAGAGGATCAATTTCCCATCAGAAAATCAACATATTCACTTTGAGAAACCAAGGATTTCCAAGGTCAACCAAGTTTTTTTTTTTTTTACTCCAAAGTTTGATAGCATTTGACCTTTAAAACTGTGACAAAAGCACATAAACTGTGACTGCCACCTTTTTTGTGGCAAAAGGCCACAAAAAAACTAATTCAAAGAGTCCAAATAAAATTTGTTTTCAGTGTGCAGAGCCACATGTTTCTCATCATGGAGCTGGTCTTACTTTTAACACTTTATTGCTTTTTTTTCTATTGGTAGCTCATAATTAAACTCTGCCAAACAACATAAGAGGTAATTATAATCAGATAAAACCTCACTTCCTGAATGTGCTGTGTTAAAACAAATAACTCAGCAAAATCTCAGTATTTCTATATTTCCTTCCAGCTCTGGAACAATAAAAGGGGGAAAAATGCATCCAATCACCAACCTTAAAATGCAACCTTAAAAGCAGAAATGACTAAGTTCAGTGATTTTTTTCACTGCTTTAAAACTTAAAAACAACTAAATTCATGTGTGAATTTAGTTCACACATGAATTGTAAAACATATGACAATTTCTTTTATTTATTTTTTTTTACCCTTCTATACTACCCTGGCTCTGTGGATGTAAGTGGTTCAGTTCAGCTTGGTAATGAGCCCCATTAATTATGTAAAGGCAGTGATGCAGATGGACCTAATTAATTGTCTCCTGTCACCCCGTTGATTACTGTACCTGCAAGGGAGGTGTTAATTTCTGTAATACTTAGGCAGGTATGCAAACTGTTTTGTTGGAGACACAGCTTTGACAATGACAGAGTGCAGCCCCATCAGCTTACCTGCTGCAAATATCTTTGTGCTATTAATTCAAAGTTTCCTTTCGGTGGTGGTGATATTTTTATAATTGAAGGAGAAAGGGAGAGAGGGCGGCTGCATGGGAGGCCCTGGAGATGTTTTCTCAACTTGATTGCATCAACATTTTGAGTACGTTTGCGCCGTTTGTCACTCTGTGTCTGGGTAATGGGGCACCAGCGGGCAAGTTTGGGAACACCCAAGGTGCTTTGCAACTGCAGCGTGGTTGGAGGCGTGTAAACCTGTTGAGAGTCAAACAACACATGTTGGAATAGCAGTGATGAATTTCCAGCCCCCCGCTGCACTTTCTAGCAGGCTTGGTAAAAATGTGCCAAACAACTTAAGCTAAAGTAAATACATAAGGATAATGTCACAGATATCAATTAAAAATACCCAGTGTAATTTTAATTGGGGTACTTTCAGTTCAATCGGGAGAAAAATTACATCTGAATATTTTTCAAAAAGTCCATTGTTCAGGGTCCTGGATCTTCTTTATTTAGTTTACTTGACTTCACCTTGTTTATCACTTTAAGAACATCCAAATATTCTTAAGGTGCTGCCAGAATTTCACTCAAAATTCACAGTTTTTTCATGCAACAATAAAAAAATACTGTTTAATGACTTCAGAATAAACACACCCTCATCACAGACGATCCACTGTGCTCAACATCGGACCTGAGGTGGAGAGTGAAAAGCAAATTTGTAGTTTGGTGTGACAAAAGCCTATCAAGTGTCCGTCTCCGTTTAGAAACCACACTGCAATTAAATGTGTAATAGTAGGACAAAAGGCTTTTTTTTTCTGTTTTTTTTTTCCTTGGGGCCACGTGATGCAAAGATGAGATGCCACTCTCCAAGAGTGAAATTTGGCGATTTATGTTTTTTAACCTCCTTTTCCTCATCGTGTATGGTGGTAAGTTAAACTGACTTCAACAAAATTTATTTTATGGGAATTGTTAAGTATGGCAACTGCAGCAATTGAATTAAGGATTACATATGTTTTTGTTTTGTTTTTTCTTTCCTGCAAGCTTAAATCTAATTTCACGTTTTTCATATGTATTTATCCGAGCTACCGGGGAGTTGCTATTCACGGAATGGTTCATCTTGGCAGAAACTAAGCATGTAGAAGAATAAAAAAATGCCATCTCAATTAATAAACTGCTGTTTTTTGACCAGTTTTAAAATTAGCAAAATGTCTACACAGCTACATGATCCAAGAACCCCTAAATTGAGATTTTCATTAAAATGGTTAAACTCAAATATTAGTTTATAAGTCTTTTCCTGTTAAATAATAGTACTCAGTGCACCTGAATACAGACCACCTGAGATGCTTAGCTGAAACTTAAGTAATGGATGAAGAAGCACTGAGGAAGAAAGCAGGCGGACAAATTAGTGGGCTGTGAAAGGATACACAGGAACCGCTGTCATGTAACAAAAGAACCCCCAGCTCCTGAGCAGGAACCCATAACAGCAACACAGGAAAACAGTCAGAGAAAGAGCCAAGTGTTTCATTTGCACTGTGACGGTTTTCTATGTCCAAAGACAGCTAGTTTTGTGCTCAGTGTGCATGTAAGTGTGTGTTAGCAAGAGACGGTTTG